CACTTCACCTCCTTTCATCACTCACACTTTAACCTCCACTTCACCTCCTTTCATCACTTAAACTTCAGCCTCCACTTCACCTCCTTTCATTGCCCTTTCCCACCTCTTCAGCACAGTTTAGCTGCTTTCATGCTCACAGCCTGGGTTTAATGAATGTTTGATTTCAGTTAAATGTTATTTTGGTTTTGACTCTTTTAATTTCCCTTTAGTCAGTTTTTAGAGTGTGTTTGCCAGTTTTAGTTCAGTTTTAGTTTTACAGTAGTGTTTGTTTGTTTATTAGGGCCAGGTATAACATCTCACACGTTTACTACATGTACATATAAAATACATGGTTGGAGAACTCTATAGGAACGGCTTTAAATCTTTGTGCTGCTTTAGTGTCTGATGTGAAGCAGTTGTGGCACAGCGCCATCTCCTGGAATGTCAGTCACCTTAATTTCTGTGGTTCAATTTAAGGAGAGTTGATGGAAATTCATGCGGTCTCCATGTTGTGGTGAAATATTAGAGCTAAAAAACTGAAAGTGAAATTAATTAACATTCATTTGTATTTAACATGTATTAGTTTTTGAAGCAGTTCAAACTGTTTTAGTTTTAGTTTCCAGTTTAGTTTTAGTTCTTATGTAGTTTCAGTTTATTACAAATATTTTCACTGCTGATTTTAGTTTTAGTTTTAGTTTACTATGATAACCCTGCTTAAAGCATCAGTATACTGCATCAGAACTGCAAGTCAGATGGTCCAACAGCTTCAGAAACCCCTCCACACACACTTCACCTGTCAGTTTGACTCCTTTCAGTGTATACTGTTCACTTTGAACACTCATACACTTCATACTTCTGCAGCTGCTGCTTCTCTCTATTGTGCACAAAGTCAGTTTGGTCTCCAACTTTTTAAGTGATGCAACAATCACATCTGTAGTTTTTCTGAATTCTTACCAGGACAAAAGCTGGATGGATTTAGTGTTTGTGTTGCCTGGCAGATGCTGTGTGCACTAACCCTGACTTTAGTCCCAAATTTGTTCCACCGAGGTTTTTTAGAATCAGCAAGATTGTTTTTTGTTTAATGTTCAGGTTGAGGTCAGGACACCTGATCAATCACCTAAAGAATCAATGATGTGTCTGTAGGACGATGGGATGGATCGCAGGTTGTGACCTCACAGAAAGGAAGATGACATCATGTTAAACACCACGTACAAGATGAATAAAAACACAGAGCGTCTGCACGGCTTAACTCAACACATCATTGACCAACAGACTGAAAGCTTGTTGTAATCAGTCCTTCTGTGTCCTACAGGTTCAGGTGTCCTGGTCCAGGTGTGTTCCAGTGTGCTTTGACTGGACTGGTGTTTGTTATGGCTCAGGAGGCGGAGCTGCTGTACAACACTGTCCAATGGGACGAGATCGTCCTCCAGTCAGCTGGCAAGATGGCTGCAGGGCCGCTGTTTGAAATCAAGTGTTCAGAGGAAGCTGCTGTCTGTCAGCTCCACCTCCCACACTGTGAAATTATGGATGGTAAAAAATGAGTTTGAGAGTTTTGTTAGAACAATGATAAATCTCTGAAGTCCTGGTGGTTGGTCTCTCCTGGTGTCGCTGTAGGTGCACCTGAGGTGATCATTGATGGCGGCCGGTCCTCCTCTGGCCAAGGAGCTGCTTAGTGAACATAAAGGGGTCGGCCAGGAACGCTGCTCTTTCTCTTGCCCTCTCTCTCCGCCTCCTTCTCTGGCTCCCATCCACCAACAATTGCTCAACCTGGGCAACAGTTATCTTCCACAACGACTAGACTCACTGAATACATTAAAATTAGGAGTAACATTGTCCTGAGGTTGTTATCAGCCAAACAAAAGTTTAACAACTCTGTGTGTTCACAGCTCCGCTCCCTGATGGCCTGTTGTCTGTTGTCCACATCACTGACGATGGAATGAGTGTCCTCAAGTCACAGGAGATTACAGACACTCATGTGGTTGTCACTGTTCCTCACCTCTCTGCCTTTGGCCTGGTCTGGGATATTGTCACGAGGTTTTTGAGCAACCTAAAACTAGTCAGCGGCCAAGTTCTGCTGTTCCTCGGACCACCAATCCCAGAAACACAGAGGCAAAAACTCAATGTGCTTCTCCTGCCAAGAAACATCCCTCTGACGGAGGTGAAGCTTCATGTTACAGCTGTCAGCTGATTTTTGTGAAAGGACACATTCACAATTTTTCAAGTCTGTCTAAAAACAACAGTCAGATGTTCATATGAACCCTGAAACAGTTTATACTAAAACTCTGAGTGTCACAAAGTCAGTCAAGTTTTGATAATAGAATAATTCAAACTTTCTCTGGCTGTAACGTCTCAAACAGATTTCCTGTTTTTCTTTGTATTATATGACTCATTTAATGTGAAGCTGTTCTGATGTCTCTGTAGGTGAGCCCACAACAGCAACTTTGCAAGAACATCCAGGCTCCTTCCACATGTAAACTCATCAAAGATCAAAGTTACACTGCTCACTGTCCTCAGGCCATTAAAGTACAGCCTAAGGTGAGGATTTTTTAATTCAAGTCTTTGTTAGTGCCGTAACATGCTGGTGCGATTCATCAAACCTTCACACTTTGGATACCGTGGAGATACTCACACTTTGGTTTTCAGAAAGCAGAGTTCGACCTGGAGTTTGGACCAAATTATCACCCAACGTTTGAGATCCGCCTGCCTACAAACACACCAGAAGTGACTGTAACAGTCCAAGACGAAAGACAGACAAGAGTCTGGGAGCATGACGTTGATCTGATGGGTAAAGTCTTCGTCCACCTGCAGCATCACTCCATCTGATACACATACAACGGAAAAGAATAAAGTAGACCCAACACAGATGATGTTAGTATGAAGTGGAAATGAGCCCTGATCAGTGGGTCATGATTAACACTTGCCATCTTTATTTGTGCTTTAGTAGACTGAAACATGGCAGTAGAACACAACACCAGATATTTCCCCATGAAAACAGTTCAAAGAAGGACTTAGTATCTATTTCCAGAGAGAACTGTCTGTGGAGCTCCTGTGAAATATTTCTTCTTGGATCCAGTTCATGTGTTCTTGTTTCTTGGTTATAAACCTTGAGATCAAGTCTGTACACTTTATGCCACGTGATGCCGTTCTTAAAATGTTGAATCGTGCCTTATGACTGAGTGATGATTAAATCTGCAGGTGCTTGAATTTCAGCCTGATTATATGAACTGTGAATATTCTGTTTCCTTATTTGAAGAAAAAAGGTGTCAGAGCGTCTTTCTGCTGCGCTCCAGCAGCACTACACCTCTGAATGGGAAGAAAAACATTTCAGCTCATTGAAGCTGTGAAGTTGATGTATCCCTGACGTCTCACTTCCTTCCTGTGGACAGTTATCAGTTTCATAGTAAGAGGGACTCAGAGCTTCTTTCTGTGTTTGTGAGGCAGATTAATGAAGCTTCAGGATGAGCTAACACATGAGTGCCAGTGTTACATCGTAGGGAACGAGAGACAGAGTGAACAAACTTGGCCTCCATGTCACGGGCAGAAACACTTGTTAGTGTTATTGAGGAGTACAGACCACACCAGCATCTAAACTGACTGAAGTCACATTTCAAGTCAAGTCCATCTTATTTATATAGCTCAAAATCACAAATCACAATGTGTCTCAAGAAGCTTTACAATTAAACAAATGTCTTTCCTCGATTATCTTCCAGGTTTAAGAGGGCAAATTCTACAGAGGAGTGTCCCAGCAGAGGACAGTGTCCCAGCAGAGGACAGTGTCCCAGCAGAGGACAGCGTCCCAGCAGAGGACAGCGTCCCAGCAGAGCAGAGGCTGTTCTCAGTTCGGACACAGTTTGTAAACAGAGTGTCTGATCCTAATCTGAACCAGCTTCTGGATAAACTCCTGGAGCGTCAGGTTATAAATGATGATGAAATGCAGTCGGCCAGAGCAAAACTCAGAGCAGACAAAGCACGACATGTGATCGACACGGTGCGGAACAAGGGAACTGAAGCCAGTTCACTTCTGATCGTTGCTCTCTGTGAGGTGGATCCACATCTTTCCAGAGTGCTGAAATTAAGCTGAAGCAAAAACAAGAAACTGAGGAGTGTGATGATGAATCTCTGTAAGAGCTGACTGTTTCACATTACTTATTGTCATCTTTGAATGAAAGGTTTTAATAAGTGGACTTTCAAGCTTTCGAAGCTGCAGCTGGAGCATCAGGCAGATGTGAGAATCAGAAAAACAGCAGATGTCTGAGTGGAGCTTATACACCTGATATTTAGAGATACTGCTTCACATCCTTTGACATGTTTACAGCCTCTGATGTCAATGATAAAAAGAGAAACAAATATTGTTTAATGCAGCTTGGCTTTTTCAGCCTTGAGGACTCTTGGTTCTGTATCATATTGTTGTGTTTTGTCTTTAACGTGTGTCGTTCTTCTTGGGGTGACAGAAACCTTCATAGCTGGGTTTGACTGAAAGCTGCCTGTTTCTGATGCTGAATGTTTCGAATGATCAGCTGGGGAAGTGTTGAAACATTTATGTGTGTTGATAGTTGGAAATGTTTCCTTCTTGTTTTGTGTTTATTCTTTTATATACAGTAATTATTTCTCAGCACACACTAGTTGTGTGTGAAGACTGTGTGATGTGACACTCAGATATTCTGAGGGGGTAAATATTCTCTGTCAGTGAGGCAAAGCACAGCCACATATTTCTGTCTTAACTGCATGGCTCCTTCACTTTAAAAACATCATGTATTTCTTATTGTTTGTCATATTTTTATATTTGATGTCTCTTGACTTTTGCACAGTGTATTGTTCTGCACCATATTCTGTGTATGTGCAAACCAGTTTCACAATAAACAGTTCCTGATTGTAGTTCACGGAGAAAATAATATGAGCTGCCAACAATGAAAGAATTCATCTTTTCTCCTGATAATTTGTTGAGTACAGTTTGCATTCTTTTCAGGTCGTACATAATTCACTGTTAGCATCAAGAGCTGATGAAACTGGCTGACAGATGACGCACCTAACAGCTAATAAATCCTCGATATCTTATTCAGTGTAGTTACCTGAAAGATAATATAGCTAACAGCTGACTAGACATAACTGTCTTCATAAGACAAGTTTACTCACAGCTACAGACACATTGTTGTGTCCCGTCATGTTGCCTGTGTCTTGGCCAAGTCATAGT